TCACTTGGACACATGCTTGCAGGGGAGGACATTTCAGCTATCAGTAGCACGGATTCCTGCTGCCTTTGAGCGGAACCAAACGGCAGCCGCTTGCTTGCTGTTGGAAGTTTGGGTCTCCCTAGTACAACCCTCGTAGAACGCTCCGCGTTCACGGAGGCAGTAGAACCCTGGCCTCTACACAGTTTTATTGTAGGTGGATAATAATTGGGAAATGCCAGTACACAGCCCGTCCTGGGCTGTAATTTTTTATAATCAAGGCCAGTAGTGTCGGGTGTCACCCGACATCACAAATATATCATTTTTGCCCGCCGTCTTTTGTTCGGACTCACCTGAAAATACTTTTTCCTGCCATTTATTACAATATTTTACTTCACACGACATCTACCGACCGGCATCTGAAATGATTTGTTGAAATGTGTTTTTATCTTTTTTCATTGAAATGAAATATGACCTGAGGGGACAACTAGTGGAAAATAAATATGACCGCAAAGGGTTAAAGACAGGGCTAAAACCAGGCAAGGCGAATTGTGTGCTCGGCCAACAAAGATATCAGGTAATTTCGTGTGGCACACAACACGAAGAAATGATCGAGAAGAGCGTCAACGACAATTGTAGGGCGCTAATGAAGTAAAAGTAACGCGTTACAGTAACTAAACTTTTTTCTGGAATTTTGGGTAATGAGTTCCTTTTCAGGAGCGAGTAATGAAACTGGTAATTAATTTCGTAACGCGTTACTTTTCTTGATGACTTCATTTTGCTAATAACCAGTATTTCATGACCACATGCAATGGACGCAACATTGGGGACTGGAGGTTAGGAAGGAATTCAGTGAACCTTTCATTTTATGTGGCATTAAGGATCCTGAACGGCATCGAAAGCAGGTGACTGCAATCGTGAGGGATTTTTTTCTTCCTACGCCGTAGCACAAATCTGTGCCGCGCAACTCACTTTCTTCGAACGGCCTTTGACAGGACGGGACAGACTGAGCTTTGGAAATTATGCAGCTCCAGCTATTTTCTCCTTTCTAGCCCACATACCACAGATGCACTTAAACCTACGATGAATTAGGGGTGGGCCACTTCGGCACCTCAAGGTAATTTTGAAAATATTTCAGGTCTACGGACCGAAGAACGAGTAACATGACCCCGATCAGAGCGACTCGCTCGCCGATCGGTTTTCATTCAATCACGTTGCCTGACAAAAGAGAACAAATAAGCCTCCCCTCTTCCTCCTGTGCAAGCACATCAAGTAGATGGGTCCATTCCATGTAAGTAGGGGTTTACCTAGGATTTAGTGCAATGATGTATGAAGGTCGATGCACGGCACTCGGTGGACGTTTACTCTTTTAAGAATGCATAATCCTTACCGCCGAATGTTACCACGTTCCTAGGTCCGATATCCAAAATCCATTGGCTAGGTCGTTTACCAACTTGCTCTGTTCCTGGTCTGCCCTTGGCGCATTGTGTCGGAAGTACGCTCTGGTCTGTGGCAGGCCGAGTGGTAGATCTGGATGTCGTGCGACGAAATGCGCGCATAAATTAACCGCTGACCCCAGTAGCACAATGAATATGGCGGTCCAGATTAACATGGGCCATGCCGATTGCGGCTGCAAGTTTTAGTTCATCTTTTGTCCTTAACAGAAGTCCCTGTCTCAGTACTGGGCATGAGAAACCGCGACCTCCCGAGTCATGGGTACCAGGCCCTCTAGAGCAGGCAGGCACACGAAGCGAAATATTTACCCGCGCAATGTATGCGAGTCATATTGGAGTAGCCGAATCCTCCTCCTCATTTATCCTCCAGAAGCGAACCCAGCCAGGTGTGTTTCTTCACACTTCGACTTCAACTCGTACAGCGTATGGTGTAAATGGAGGTTGGTTAAAATGGAGCTATTTGTGCGTCGTTAATTCGTGCATTTGGAATGGAAAAACTTTTTCTTTTCCAACATATTCTCCATGCTCTTCGTATACGACACCCTTGTTTCTCTGTGCCTTCCTCAAATAATGGAGGGGGAAAAGAGAAGGGACTCAGCTACGCTCATTCATCATCTTCATTTCAAAGTGAACGAGTTAACATGTCATCAGCGCTTCCTACATTCAGTGAAAATAAGTATCGAATGACAAGATCGTACAAATTGTGGTGCAATATATCATCCATGTTATTTGCATTGGCATAGTCTTCTTTTTTCAGCTACAAGTACATTAACGAAGAAAACAATCATCTAATGTCGAGATAATGCATTGTGACGATCGGCGAAAATGGGAAGTAGGGTAAAACACCCAGTGATGGGCCACGTCGCATGAAAATTCCAAAAACTAGTAATTTGTAGCATGAACGGCTCTGAAATGTGTATGTGCTTGCATGCTGCTAGCCTATGTCACAACAGGGCTAGGCGTGCTATAGAAGCTATGAAGGGGATGCAAAGTTGAATCGTTTTACTTTCCCCACTCGTTCTTCTTGTTAATTAATCCCCCGCCATACGCAACATTTATAAGCTCATGTAAAGGTTGAAGATTCAATTGGAGGCTATTGCGGTAAGCTCATGGATATCTTCCAAGGTTCCTGCGAACGATCGGAGTGGGCACTGACGTGACTGCGGTTTCGAAGACCAAACCATCCAGCACATTATCCATCTGGGGGTGGTCTTCATTTTCCACCCGTGCAAGAGGTGGGCGCAACGGCCGTGCGAGGTGCGGATGCGGTTTAGCATGGTCCAATGCTTTCTTGGCAGGTCGAAGTCAGCAACTTCTGTGGTGGGATCAGAAACGAGCCTTTTGTTGCGAACGATGGCTTTGATCCACATGGCTTTCCACTGTTCCTCCAGGTCAAAGGAGAACGCACGCCCCAGCACCCCACCAGGTTCCCGCCAGTTTGCGCACGACACTGACCCTAGCCTTCATTTTTTCGCATGTCCTTTCGAGGTGGAGTCTGAAGGTGAGGCTGCGGTCCAGGGTAACGCGTATTTTGGCTGGGCCTCATTATTTACTGGATGGCCGCAGAAGGAGACAGGAAGAGTCTCTTTAGCGGTGCGGTTGTCGAGGTGGAATGCGATGACTGATGTTTTTGTCGGGTTTGGGCGTAGTCTCCATCTTTGGAAGTACTTCGCTAGTGTCCAGGTCAGCGGTGAGGGTGTCGCCGATGGCGGATAGTGCTGCACCCTGCGACGCGAGCGCAATGTCGTCGGCGTAGACAAACTTTCTGGAGGTTGTTTGCGGTAGATCGCACGTGTTGCACTGTAGATGCTTTAAGGAGAAGACCATCCTTCCATACGGTATCGTAAGCAGAGAAGAGATCGACCAGGGCAATGCCGGTTTTTTGTTTCTGCTGGAAAGCGGCTTCGATCCCCACTCGTTGAAGAAAGGATACTGAAATCGACATGGGAGCTCCCAGAATTCACCAAGGGTGGAAGGAACCTAGACCTCATGGGATGCATTAACATATTTAATAAATGTAAGAGTCAAAAGGTCACACGTGAAGTCGCGGCTGACCATGACAGGGACCACCGGTATAGTGCCACATATTCTCTGTCGAAAAAAATGCTCCTGACTTTTCGGAATTGGACACGATTGGACACACAATATTGAAGGGAGGATATAGTGGCACCGGTTGAGGGTTTCGTACCATCATGGCTGCGGATCCAAAAGAGTTAATTCATTCACATCCCCATAACGGTCCATTAACACTAGTTTTCCCGAGCCACTTGGCCCGAGCCGTGGCCTACCTTAGCCTGTCTTTCAAAGCCATGGGCTAAGCGGAATAAAACGGGATATTTTCAGAAGAATCGATGTCTAACGAATGAATAATAAAAATAAAATGTTTCATTGTTAAACAAAACTAACATCAAGCGTGGTAACGGCAACCTCATCGTTAGGTCCTGTTAGGAAAGAGTTCACATCAGGATATTGTAACCTTGCCCAAGTATTCCATACTACTAAATTCCACGAGAAGCGAAATATCTGCGTAAAACTTTCATGACACGGGGGGGAAAGAGTTTCCCAGAATTAGATAAACTTCTAGGGAAACAAAGGAAAGCCAGATGACTTCCTTTCACAACTGGTATTGAAATCCAGTCAGGGCCCCATTACGCCCCATGTCCAAGAAGAGTCAAGCCTGACAGTCTCAGTCCCAGATCTTTAACCGTTTCCGCGCTAATAACTGACAGCGCCAACCCTTACAAAAAATGTTACCGTTCCCCTCTCATTTACCGCTTCTTTACCTATATTTTACCTATAGAAAAATCGATTCAACAGAGGCAGATGTCATGATGTGGTCGGGGAAAATGGCAAACCAATATGGAAATAAAAGTGTACTTTTAATGCAAATGTCGTGGTATCTCGTACCTCGAAAAATCTCCTTTGTTCATACGGTCTCTTTTCATCAAATCACAAACGTTATTTTAATGACATGATTCATTCCTGCCTCTGTCCTTAAGAGGGGGAGGCGAGGTTGACTGGTTTCGCTTTTCCCACACGATAAAGTATACAGATAATAGCTTGGTGTCCTCACGAGGGCGCAAGGAAGCTAGACCTCGTGAGATGCGTTAGCAGATCCTACAAGTAACATAGGAGTCAGAGTCGCACATGAAGTCCTGGCTTGTCATCACTGGTGTAGTGTCACCTGTGATGACCAGCGGATGACAGATACAGCATTACACACGTGATGTATCATTCCCGTAAGAATTTGCTCCTGACCAGTCAGAAGTGGGCAAGGATGAAACCATTTTGAGAGGAGGATGAAATAGCTTCGGTAACTGATACACGTGACACGTACCGCTATGCTTGTGGATGCGATTGGGTCTACTCAGTCACATCTAGTGGCCATTTTTCTGAGCGGTCTTCACTACTGCTTACCCCTAGGGATACTCTACCATAGGCCTCGGCCACCTTAGCATGGTGCGTATAGCCTAAGCCTTTCTAGGCCATAGGCTAAGCGGAAGGACGGGGAATACATAGAAGTACGCTTCCGAATGGTTACTAGGAGAAAAATCGATTCAATAGAGGCAGATGTCATGTCGGGGAAAATGGCAAACCAATATGGAAATAAGTGTACTTTCACGCAAATGTCGTGGTATCTGGTACCTCGAAAAATCTTTGTTCATATGGTCTCTTTTCATCAAACCCTCGACAAGATCGGCTTCGGGTCTAATGTGGTGTTCCCTGTATATTTCCCGTCACTCATCTCCAAGGATTTCAATAACTCCTTATATATTGTATAGAAGGCAAACTTTCATTGTATTTATTTTTCTCGTAAACTGCAAAAAACTTTGGAAGGGAAATAACACCGGATAAGGGAGGGGAAGAGGATTTCCTAGAATGAAGTGATAGATAACTTCTAGAGAAACAAAGGAAAACCAGGTGGACTCTTCTCACATCTGGCATATATTAGCGGTCAACGCACCATTACGTCCTCACATCCAAGAAGAGTCGAGCTCGACAGTAAGTTGGTCCAGACTTTCCGTCATTTTCGGTACCTAAAGCTGACGTCAGGTGCTAAGAGGAGTGTCGAAGTGATTCATTTTCACGGGTACGTTCATGGTCCGGGAATTGCTAGGCACAAAGGAATATTTTTTGTTGCCGAACAGGATTCCTAAGATATGGTTTTTGATATGACGTTTCTGTCTCCAGTTGGAGCTCTGGTTGTGTTCGCCAGTAGAGTTAACAATTTCTTTTTCCAGGCGTGAAGGAAATTTCGCGAACGGAGTTTAAAATGAGGGGCATTGCAAGTCTCTTGGTGGTGGCACTGATTGCATCGACGGAGTGCAGCTCCGGAAAAGTAAGCGGAACGAAGGGCATTCGTTGACGCCCTTGCTCAAACAGATTTTTCCATTGAAACTTAATCCCATCATATTCCTGGTGTGGATAAAAAAAATGAGCCGCTGCTTGGGTTTCTTTCATAGCAGATCTAAGATAATTGCTGAAATTCAATTTAAAAGAAAAATAATTTGCTTCGTCTTAGTTTTTTTAATGTTCATTTCTGTGTTTACGGTCTGATTTATTTCTCTTTAGAAACTCGCGCCAAATTCAGTCTCCAATCCCAAGAGCGTCGCCGACTTGGAGGAGATAATATCGACCATGATGACAAAAATTGAAGATCTGGCGAAGGAAAACACACAACTGAAGCTGGACATCACACAGCTGAAAGTTAACGATGAAAAAATGAAATCCCTTGTAGAGAATACGGTGGAAAATAGGCTCCAGTACCTCGAGGCCGTAACTCGGCAAATAAGTGAGTTACAGGAAATGCAGTTGATACGACTATTCTGGTCTCGTGTTACTCTAGGTTAATGAATGGGAGCATCTGTTTCTTGTGTCACAGCGCCCCCGACGTGCGAGACTCTGGCCAGCCTGGGCGTGACGAGGACGGGAACTTACCTTGTGGACCCAGATGGGGTACTTCGAGGCGATCCACCCATACAAGTGCTCTGTGATATGAAAACAGGTGAGGTCATGAAAATAGGATATCAGTCTTCCTTATTGCAGCCGGAAATACTGCTTACCGTTGTACATTGCGACGACTTCCTTACTTTTTCCTTAGATCCGGTGTCTACCATCGTTCTTCACGATGCGATGGAAAACACGGAGATTGACCACTGCCCAGATCCTGGATGCTACAGTCGTGGCATCGCATACCATGCGTCAATGAAGCAGATGCAAGCATTGATCGAGCAATCGGAGTCTTGCGAGCAGAAAATCAGAGTGAGTCTAGCCTTTTTATGAAGGTCTTCGATCTGGCTTCGTTCCTTCTATATAAAAAAGCCTTAACAGTTTTCCCCCATTTGGAAATGTATATTCCACCCTTGCGGACTTGGCTGGGTGTGGACATTCCTGGTTGCATTTAATGACGACACCAAACTGCATTCTGCATCCATAGATGTGGCCAGGAGTTACTTTGTCACTGAAGTGAAGGACGTTTGTGGATCTAGAAATGATAGTATTATGGATCATAACAGTCGGCAATCTGAATTGCGCCTTTTTATCATTTCCTTAATATGTCAAAACCTGAAGCCTCTTAAACAACTTCCTTTTCGTATTGTGTTCACATTTCATTAGTTAATATTCTCTTCTTGAATGGGATTTTGTTCCATTTTGGGGGAAAGGAACGCGTGTGAATTTAAACTCCCTTCTCCATTCGGTTCCAGGGACCTTTCCTTTGGCTATTCCTCACCATTAGGTGTTGTGATGTTTTTTTTTTTCTTACGAAGAATGTAGATTAGCTCTAAGCAATTGATGTTGAAATGGACAACTTTTTCTTGCAGTATGACTGTTTTTCGACGGCATTGACAACCAGCAACACAGATTACGCCTGGTGGGTGGACCGTCATGAGGAACCTCAGTACTACTGGGCTGGGGCGCACGCAGGGGAACACGTCTGCAGCTGCGGCCTCACCGAAAATTGCATCGACCCCACGTTGCCGTGCAATTGCGATGCAGAAGCCCCCGAGTGGGAATCGGACGAAGGAGCGATCACCAACGGAACGGCATTGCCCATCACAGAGCTTCGATTTGGCGGCCTTCAATTCGATGGCCAGAAGGCGAACCACACTCTTGGTGGACTGATCTGCCAAGGCAAGGCTGCGTCTCCGGACAACCCAGCGGAGTCCTGCTCGTCTCTGCGCAAAGCCGGACACACTCACGCGGGTTATTACCTGATCAGCACGAAAGAAGGACGGTTGGATGTTGTTTTCTGTCGAATGAATTTGGAAGACACCGACGTGGATTTCCAGTTGGATACTGGTGGTCGCATCGTGGAGGAGAGTGTTTATTTCAACGTCTATCGCACAAGCATGTGGAATAGCACGGGCGTAATTACTTTCGAAGGGATCGAGGTGAACATGGGGGACGCGATGTCTTCCAGCAGCCGGGTTTTCACGGCACCCATGAACGGAATTTATGCTTTTCATATCCATTTTTTGGGCGTCCGAGGTAGAGCTACTTTAGTACAATTCAGACGAAATGGACAATTCAAGGGAAAAATGTTTACGGATAATAGTAATATCTACCAAAGTACTGGCGATTCCTTCATCCTTAATCTCAATTCTGGCGACCAAGTCGATCTATCTTTGGAATTTGGAGGAATTCATTCACATCCCAACCGCCATTTCGAATTTGTGGGATATCTGTTGCATCCCATGTAGATAGATTGGAGTGCAGTCAGCCATGTTGCAGCATGCATTTCGTGGCTATTTTTATAGGTTGCTTCCTTCTGTAAACAATTTCATGTGAAACTAGGAAGGTAAATAAAGTAATTTTAATTATTAACCTCAGACAGTTGGCTATTCTGGTTTAAACAGGAAAACATTTTCAACGTTATCTTTCGATAAAATTTTAAATTTTGGATAAAAGCCTTCCAATTTCTTTTTCAAATAGCTTCGAAACATGCGAAGCTTCTTTTCGCTATTACAGTGATCCCACCTGGTCCCTTTCTAACACTATGGCAATCCATGCACGACATCGACGGGTGTTCAGATAGTCCTTACGAGGGTATTTCTCTGAGCAGATTATTATGACGCTCTCAAAATCCCAACTTCGAATGAAAGGACGAGAATGATCCGGAAAGAAGAATCACTTTCCATGGCTTCAGTCACCCAGCCCTTTTTTTCTCGTGCGATCGACATGCGCGACACCTGCGTGATACTTTGAAAACCATCACATTCACCATACTTCTACTCGTATTTCGGTGTACTTTGGTGTCGACGTTATGTTCCTATCTATAGGGTAGCCCATACGTCCCAATCGGATATAATTAAAGGGAAAATACAAAATTTTTACTATGTTTGATTTTTTGTAATAAGTTTGAATAAATTAGAAATATTTCTAAAGTACAAAATACAATCTTCTCGACAAATATTATTATTTTCTTAGTAATCGATTGTCATTTGGAGCGCCATCATATGTAACACAAAGTTCAATTAGACGCCTCGTTCGCTTGGTTGCTCTCAACATTTCTGGGACAATCTTTGTAAATGCGTTGCAAATGGCTGTTCTCAATTCTTCCACATTATGCATATGTACCTTGTTAAAATTGCTCCTTTACAAACGACCAGTCAATTGTCGCATGTCATCAAGTTGGGGGTACGGGCGGGCCAGGTAAGGCCAATCCAGACGGGGAATTGCTGTGACAAAAACTCTTACTGCGACGGAATAATGGGCCGGTGCGCAATCTCGTTGTAAGACAACATTATTAATCAACTCACATCTGTCCAGCTCAGGAATAAGCCATTGTTCGAGCCTATCCAAATATTTCCCTCTAGTATTGGATAATTCCACCATCCGGAAAGAAGTTAGGACCAATAGAACCATCCATCTCAGCGCCTTGAGAGATTTTTTTCAAAACTTTTACCATAACCGATTGGGACTCATGGGCCACCCTGTAGAATATTCCGTTTAGGCATAAATCTGAGGGTTCTCCCATTAAGGTAATTCTGTGTCGGCGTACTTTTCTCGGTCAAGTTCCACTCTTTGTTTTAGTCGTGGAAATTTCCTTTCCTCTTTCTTTCGTTCTATTCTTTAATTTTGTGTTTTCCGTGTCGATTTTCTACCAGTACGATCTAGTTCTGTGTCGACATAGTTACTGTCGATGATATCCCGCGTCGCTTCTCTTCCGAGTTCGGTTATTCCACGTCCATGTACTTCGGTTTCGGCGTTATTCCTACGCGCCATCCGGGCGTCTTTGAAGGCGGCCTGATGATCTGCTCAGAGAATAACCTGGTGGACATCATCGATGCTTCGCTCACATATCTTACCGTTCATTATGTTAAGGTAAAGTAATTGTGATGGGGGATAGAAGCATTACTTCAATGGCTTCGAAAATGTTAATGAAAGTTTCAAGTACTCTCGGATGATGATAATATTATGACCCTACGGGGTTGTGGGCCGTTGTGTCCCGATCCTTAATCCCGCGGGATCATCGGAGGACTCCGATGACCAGATTTATTATCGCACCTTTCGCCCGCAGGGTACAGGGTGTCAGCCTCAGTGAGCTATTCCTCGGCTGATGACTGGTCTCGGAAGTTCGGGAATAGGGGGGTCCGGGTGGAAATAAGACCAAAGGAAACAAATGCACACCAAAGCAATCGACTAGCTGCTTAGGTCCCTCATCGCTCGGCGTTCGGCGTGGCGAAGTGGTCCTGTATGGTCGGAAATACCAAACAGTCTCTTCCACGATGGTACCGCGAGGAAATGAAGGCATCCACGCGCCTCGGCCTCCTCCAACGTGCATATTAGGCGAGGTCTTTGGAGTTTCTGGATAAACTCGTTTGAAAAACGTAATCTGGTGGAAGGGGGGAGATCTCAGGCATTACTGGCCCAGAGAACAGAAGAAACATGCCAACATTTTCGACCATGTTCCATGGCTCTTTTTTGGTCGCTGTTCTTCATCTCTCATACAGACGGAAAAAAATATCAAGCTGTCCACGTAAGGGTTCATCTGACGCTCCCATTCAAGGGAGTAATCATGTAAATAAATATGCAAGACAGACATGTTCCCCGAGTCGCACAGGGTCAAACGCGTAAAGTGGTCGGAGAGAGACCGGAAAACATAGGTGGGAACAGTGTCCTGATGTTTGCTTCTTGTCACAGATCGGCAGAAATCCGAATCTATCTCATTCACTGTATCTCCATATTCATTCATTGGTCGGGTGACGGGCAGCAGCCACAATGTCAAACCGGTGTTTAATTTCGAGCCACACGTCTGCCAGCATGACGGTTGTGAGCACGACACAATTAGCCGTTGATACTCGTCCGGCGGCCGGAGGTCTAAAGGGAAGGATCTGATCGTCCGGCAATCTGTCGCGCATACCCACGGACTCCTCGTCTGCGTCACATGGCAGCCTCTGCGTACCCACGTGACTTTCGGGTGGGGAGGATATAGCTGACCAGCATCCAGTGACGCATGCGCACTAAAACCTTTTCGGCGTTAGATGATGACAATGTGCAAACGTGACTTTCAGGTGGGCAACAAATTGGCAGATTTTGACTCCCTTTTAACCAAGATGGATGAGTTTGGGTAGACGTTCGTGCAGTTCTACATGCGAGACAGGAACTGTGGAAGCAGGAAGTGACGCAAATAAAAAGAAAAAATATCAAGTCAAGTTGGAGCCTTCCAGAAGGAACTTTCTGCAAAGCCTACACTTGGACGATGCTCTCCAGTCAGCTGTGACAAGAGTGGGTTACAGCCGGTGTTCCAAGCTCTTTACAAATGTTGGGAGGAGTGTATTTTAAGTCAGGGAACTAGATGGGGATCACACTGAAACCAAACTTCTGTACATGGCTTGCTCAAATGAAGGCCTGTCCTGGAACATTTTGATGGGCCCACATATTATTTAACGAGAAAAAGGGAGAGATACATGCAAGACATAATGAAAGTTTGTTGCTAATTCTCACCATTCTATCTATAATAGGAAGGCACAAGGCATAAATTCAGTAACTTTAATTTTCCCTCTAACATATTTTAGTGCTAACACTATAGCACTTGGAGATAACCTACTATTTAGCGGCTCAACACAAGTTTTAAAAATTTTCAAATGAAACATCTTCTCCATTCTGCTTGATGGAAACGTGCGTTCCCTTTTCTCAAACTGTCCTTGCAGATGCTAATGTTGACCTTCTGGCTAAGGACTAGAAGCTTCTTGGGGTGTTTCTTCAAGATGCACGAAATGAAGAGTGGCTTTGGCATATCTTACATTCTTGGCAGTATATTCCACTTACAGACTCTTCAGCATACACACTCCTGTGTATGTACTCTTTGTGGAAGACTCAAATGGAGACAGTGACATTGCTGGTGTGGGCTTCCTATCAACACTCCTACTCTTCTTAGAATTTACCAACTAGACGTAAGTCCTGGTCCTTACGAAATCGTAGTATCAGGTTCAGTAGTACTGTCTGTTCCTGGACTTTCTCTCCTTCCATAACTTATCTGTAAAGGGGTCTGCTCAGGTATTGATTTGTAGGTTTTATGCATTAAAATCCTTCAAGAGGGAAATAGCTTGGGAAAATTGGGAATTTCACAAGAGAGAAATCTGAACAGCTACAAAAACTGTCATATGCTTTGTCAGATGAAGAATGTGACAGGATTTACACTGACCTAGGCAGCAGAACTCCTTCTTGTGGCCTAAGTTATTATCGCGGACACAAAAGTGAGTCGGACGCGGAATGGCCCAGAGGTGGCGTTAGGGTCACATGACCCAGACCCGGGTCAAATTGACCACCCCATTAGTGGTTATGCCAATAAATTATAATTAGACAAGGTTCGGGAGCTGCTGGACAAAGGTCTGTCCAGCCATCAGTGAGCCCCTGGTGCTCTCCGATGGTCCTAGTCAACCCTACCTCGAATCGATGAGACCTTGGAATCCCTCCAGGGTTCGACCTGGTTTTCCTCATTGGATTTGAGGTCCGGTTACTATCAAATTCCAATGCACCCGGAGGACCGGTCATTGACCGCCTGGACTGATGGGCGCTTCTTGTATGAATGGACCGTCCACCTTCAGCCGACTTCTGGAATTTGTGATGGCTGGACTCCGCTGGGAGCAGGTCTACGAGATGGAACTACTGGATCACCAAAAACCCTCTTGGACCTGTCTCGTAGTCCTTGCCGACCCTTTGCAGAAGGTTTCTGATGTCCTGCGAGCGAACGTCGATTTGCCCCTCTTTACAGATGAGCGGCGTCATCAAGTGCCGTTCTTGGGATTCACCATCAGCGCTAAGGGCATGGCTAACTCCCAAGACAAGATCCAGGCACTTAGAAGCATGCTACCCTCAAGAAACCAGCAAGAAGTGCGGAGTATACTAGGCTTCATGTCATACTACCGGCGATTCGTCCCCAACTTCTCCTCAATTGCATCTCCCTTCACGGTCTGACTAAAAAGGGAGCACCTTTCGATTGGAACCCGGACTGTGACGAGGCATTGTCTAAACTTAAAGACATCCTCACAACGGCGCCAGTCTTGGCATACCCCGATTTTACGCGTCCCTTCCGCCTTTACGTAGATGCAAGCAACATTGGCATAGGGTCCGTGCTTACGCAAGTTCAAGATGGCCAAGAACGGCCGATTGCTTATGCCAGCCGCTTGTTAAACAAGGCGTAACGGACTTACAGCGTAACGGAAAAAGAATGCTTAGCATTTGTTTTTTCCGTTCAGGTAAACCACCCGTACCTGTACGGTCGACCGTTCCAGGCATACACAGACCACAGTAGTTTGACCTGGTTGAAAAACCCCACTGGTCGCTTGGCACGTTGGATTATGCAGCTCTCAGAATGACCACATTAGGGGAACAAGCAACAAAGCAGAT